CTCCTACAGCTTTCAAAGCGTAATACGATACTAAAATTATGTATCTATACCCTTTAAAATTTGTAATATACGTCGATAAAAATGTAAAAACAAACTTAAAGTTATATAGATAAATAAGACAACTTATCTTCTATTCATCAACAATTTTTGTGGGCCATGAAATAGATAACGTTAAAACTTAGTCTCGAGGGAAAATTTTGAGTCCAAAAAGGGTTGATACAAAATATTAGTTTTTTTCATGATAATCATTACACTTAGCCACTGACATTTTAAAATATATTTTTTTCTATTTTTTTGTTTGTTTGTAATTAAGCACAAAGATACACAATGGGCTATCTGTGCTCTTCCCACCACGGGTATCGAAACCCGGATTATATCGTTGTAAGTCCGCATTTACCGCTGTGCCATTGGGTGGGGCATTCTATTTTTTTTTTTTTACATCACGATACTGTGACACGATCTTCTGGCAGTGAATCTAAGATGAATCTTTTTTTTAATTTTCTTACAAAAAGAGATGCAAGGGTTTGTTTGTTTTTAGCAAAAAGTTGTCCAATGGGCTATCTGGACTGTGCTCCCCGCAGGGATCGAACCTGAAGTACCGGAACGCATGACGTAAAAAAGTGAATGGATAAACGTTAGTAAAAAAAAAGAAATATTGGACAATGAAGCCGATGACACTGCCTAAATCTATTAGTTTTGTACTATTTGTTAACGGTGGATTGGAACTAGTGCGTTTATGTGTAAGACTAATGTTGCCTATATTCTTAACACCATCACAATATCAGTTAGAGATATCCTAGACAATGCAATGTTCTGTTTATATCACAATAGCGAAAGTACCCGGCTTATTAGATTTATATACTCTAGATGACTATGTCAGTGTGTGTATTCTGAACCCATTTTAGCATAAAAGTATAACTTATATACTTTTGTTGTTCCTTCCCTCTGAATTGTCCTTCGACTTTAAACTTAAATAATAAAAACAAATATTAAAAACAAACCTCTTTAATTAACCTACCCTCTAAATTAGAAAACAACAAATATTTTTTTTCAATTTTGTAGTTTATACATTTCATTTTATACTTTCAGGACATATCCTCTTAACAACAATATTAGATTATAATTGTACTGCTAAACAACATGATATAAAATCCATTGTTGAAACGCATTATTACCAAAAG